GGGCACCTGCCAGAGGACAGATGCGAATGCAGTGCTTTTCTTTTTTCTTTTTTAAAATATATTTTATTGATTTTTTTACAGAGAGGAAGGGAGAGGGATAGAGAGTCAGAAACATCGATCAGCTGCCTCCTGCACACCCCCTACTGGGGATGTGCCTGCAACCCAGGCACATGACCTTGACAGGAATCGAACCTGGGACCCTTGAGTCCGCAGGCTGATGCTCTATCCACTGAGCCAAACTGGTCAGAGCAAGTAGCCTTAATTTTTGTGCACAAATTCTTGAGACTCCTCCCTTTAAGTGGTGGAGCGAAGCTCCCCTCTCCTTGCACGTGGTGCCTTCCACACAAAAGCCTGCACGTGGTGTGCTAGCCGCTTTGTCCATAATTGTCAAAACTTAAAAGAAGCCAAGCTGTCCTTCCGAAGGGAGTGGATGACTAAATTGTGCCACATCCATCCAGGCCATGGAATATTTATTTAGCAAATAACAAAAGAAATGAGCTTAGCTCTGACAGGTACTTCATTTGGTTAGAGCATTGCCCAGCTATGTCAAGGTTGCAGATTCTGTCCTCACTCAGGGCACATACAAGAATCAACCAATGGCCCTAACTGGTTTGGCTCAGTGGATAGAGTATCAACCTGTGGACTCAAGGGTCCCAGGTTCGATTCCAGTCAAGGACACATACCTTGGTTGCGGGCACATCCCCAGTAGGGAGTGTGCAGGAGGCAGCTGATCGATGTTTCTCTCATCAATGTTTCTAACTCTCTATCCCTCTCCCTTCCTCTCTGTAAAAAAATCAATAAAATATATTTTTTTGAAAAAAGAATCAACTAATGAATGCATAAGTAAGTGGAACAACAATGTCTCTCTCAAATCAATTTTTAAAAATAGAATTAAAATAAAATCATTAAGTTAAAAACCACTTTAAAAAGAAATGAGCTTTCAGGGGGAAAGGGGACAATACTTCCTACAACAAAGGTAAAAAATTTTAAAAGAAGGAAATGAGCTTTCGAGCCATGAAAAGACATGGAGGGACCATACATGCATGTTGCTAAGTGAAAGAAGCCGATCTGAAAAGACTACACACCACATGATTCCAAGTCTGTGACATTCTGGAAACGGTACAACGATGGAGACAGTAAAAGGATCAGGGGTTGGTGGGGAGGGATGAACATGGGATTTTTAGGCTGTGAAACCGCTCTGTACGATACTGTAATGGTGGATACATGTCATTACACATTTATCCAAACCCACAGAATGTGCAAACACCAAGAGGGACCCCTCCTGTGGACTCTGGACTCTGGGTGGTGATGCGCCAATGTGGGCTCATCAGTTGTACCAAGTGCACCACTGTGATGTGGGGTGTCCATGGTGAGGAAGATTGCGGGGGGACAGATATATGGGAAACCTCTACCTTCTGCTCAATTTTACTGTGAGCCTAGAACTGCTCTACAAATAAAGTTTATTAATTTTTTTTTTTAAAAAAAGGTAAAAATGTCTGCTAGAGAGGTCCTCGAGGGGGCAGACTCCCAGGCCATGCCCCCTGGCGGCCTTGGACATTTGCAGCGCCAGCCTGGCCCCTGAGGTGACTTGAGTTTCAGACGCCTGGTGCAGACGCCAGGAGCGTGGGTTCTGGAGCAGACAGGTGGCAGGAAAGTCAGTTTTCTAAACTGCCCTGAGCCTCAGGGTCCTCGTCTGCAAACGGGAACACAGCTGTCCCCTGCCAATAAGAGGCTCACGTTTTAGCAGGATATAAAAGGAATCCCGACAGAAGGAGATAACGCCCTGGCCCTGGTCGGATAGTTCAGTCGGTTAGA